CTAACTATTATATTTAGTAAATATCATCCCCTTTAGTATAAGTATAGATGTCCAAACTTATTGAATTAAATTTGTTGCTTGGGCACTTATTGCAAGTGTTCCTCCTTGTTAGTCTTTGAATTAAATTTGTTGCTCGAGTTTAGGGCACTTATTGCAAGTGTTCCTCCTTGTTAGTATTTTGTATTCGGATTAGTTAATTCGCCGTATTCTATTCTGTTTTAATTATATATGAAAATGCCTATCATTTTGAAAAAAAAAACAACAATCTTATTCAAACCAAATACCGAAGCATAAATTTTCGCCAAGTAAGATTTCGAAGCATAAATTTTCGCAAAGTAGGATTCACGTTCTGAATTAATATATAAGGGAAAGGGGATAATATCATCAAAAGATGACGTTATTCATTTGAACTATTCTCTCAAGCATCAAACATTTTCTTCCCTTCTAGACACCAAACATACTCAATTGACCAACTTGATGAGACAGGACTATTTCGTAATTACAGAATACTTACAATAACCATACATCATATATTGGTTGGCATATCTTGTAATCGGACCACAGGTCCTTATTGGAATTACATACATAAAACACAGAAAACAAACTAACAAACAACACTTCACTGCACGGTAATCGTAGAACACCACTACCGTTAAAAACACCAAACAGTTGATCTCTTACCGTTGATACATTCTTACCATTCTTACCGGCCACAGGATTCCAACACTTACAAATTTATTCTCGTTTCGTCTCAGCCGCCTGAATCGTGTCGGGGTAAAGCACACTCTTGGCTCCGGTATAGTCTACCAGCTTCTTGCCGAGCGGTGAGTTACCCAATGAAAGCAGCCTGAAACTCCACTCGACCACCTCTGGGAAGAAGAGCTTCCACAGGTAAGTGACTCTAAACCAAGCCGGTACCGTCAAGTATCTCTCTCCACGAACGGCACTCCTCACTATTGCCTTCGCGCACCTCTCGGCCCCAAGCACCGGCATTAAGCTCAATTGTACCTAAAAAATTCAAACATTAACTAACTATAATAATAATTAGAAAAACTAGTGACAAAACTGGTCCCATAAACATGGATGTCATTTCGTAGTTTTTCATAATTCTGCTATTCGATCAACTTTTCATGCTTGCAATTATGAACTTGTGTTATTTACTGCAGTGAATTTGCAATTTTGTACATTTCTTGACGAAATTAATAGATATTTCGACAATAATGCAGAGTATCTAAATTTCCATAAGATGTAATAGACACTCTTTAAAAAAATTCGCCGACCAAGTAAATACATATATAATGGAAGCTGGTCTCTATCATGTTTTGTTCATTCCGGTCCCACCAAGAATTTAATCTAGTTATAGCCTAAGCATAAGCAATTAATACTATGTAGAAGAGAAAAAAATGTTGGGCTCAAACAATACTTACATCTCTCATGTCCTGGTCGACTTCAAGTTTGCCAACCTTGGTGTAGAATTTGCCTTGAGTGAGCTCGGATTCTATGTATCCGGGCGTAACGAGTGTTATTCCGATGTCCGGTCCGAATTCCACCCTCAAGGTTTCAAAGAACTGTGAAATTGCCGCTTTGCTCGCCTATTTCATAGATTGTGGCATGCAACACAAATCAATGTTTTAGGATCATAATATAGAACAGAAAATCAAACACGACATAATCTTTTTTTTTTTCTTTTTTTATCATAGGCAAGCACTAACGTTGTAAATACTCATTCTTGGTGAAGGCAGCCACGAAGCAGACGAAGAAATCACCACAATTCTGCCTCGGCTGTTCCTTAGGTAAGGAACTGCAAACCTCGTCATGTACACACAACCCCAGAAGTTCACGTCCTGCCACCCCAAATTACATGTATAAATTAACACTACAAATTATTGCATATGAGATTTTAATAAAGTTTGAACACCAAACATATATATATATATGTCTTACATTTTTTTTTTTAAACAATATATATACACCAATTATGTTTGTATATATCTTAATAAAGTTCTTTCAAAATGTGTCAAATTTTAGTTTTGCTACTAAAGAAATATCAAATTGAGAACATTCACTCACTCAAAATTCAAGAATACATACAAATATATATCCGTGCTCAGAGAATATACAGAAGCAATGATGGATGGAATTAAAGGGAGTATAATTTAAGAATGAAGATCATATATCTAAAATAAAATGTTGAATACTGTATTTAATCTTAAATAAGAGGACACCCATTGTAACTTTATTGGGGATTAGCAGTAGAGCAGAAGATATATTATAAATTAGTCCAAAAACAATCAAGATCATACCATAACGGCTCGAAAATCAGTGACATCATCAACCTCTTCAAGCATGGCCACAGACGAAATTCCAGCATTATTCACCAGATGATCCACTGCAGACAAGTAACGAAAATTACAAACTAAATTCTTCACGTAAACAACATTAATCAACTGAAATATGAATAAAAAGATTGGTTATCATCTTACATCTACCAAAATGATTCATAGTGTGATCAACAATCCTCTGCAATCCTCGACCTTGGACACGTCAGCACGTACGATCACGACATCTGGCGACCCAAAATCACGCGCCCTTTCGGCCACATCACCGAGACTTCCTTCTCGCCTAGTCGCCAGAACCAAGAACGCCCCTCTCTTAGCATACTCGTAAGCTAGGCTCTATGTACACATGTCACAATTATTTCATTATAAAACCACTTACAAGCATAAGGGTAAATAGCACATGAACACATATATATATACTTACTTCGCCTATGCCGGAAGAAGCGCCGGTAATTAGGACAACCTTGCCGGCAACATCTTCAGAGAAAAGGGTACCCAAAACAGAGAGGCAAAACTTGAATACCTGAAAGGGCGGCAACAAAAACAAAAGGGAGAAGAAGGTGAAAGGGGGAGCTGCTAAGTTGAGAAATGTGTGAATCAATTCTATCATGATTTTTTCTTTCAAGTTTCTAAACAAGTTTGTGGGGGCGATGAGAGAGTAGAATAAGACGAATTTGATGAATGTAGGTATGGAGAGAGGTGTGTGTAAAGTATTAGTGGCACCGCCGCATGGAGAGAAGATGACACGTACTGTTCCTTTGGTTGGAAGTGGTGGTGACGCATTTTCACTTACCTCCATCTCATACATTTCGGAAATTCAAAATCAGTGTCAACCTAGGCTTATACTGTATCGCGTAATTTGCAAAAATGGCTAAAACCCCCCTACTCCCCCTGGATATTAATTTAGAATGTGTCGAGTCTGAGTGGCAGACTCGAATGATTCGAAATTCATAAATAATTAGGTCCAGAATTTCTATAAATATGATGATTATTTATGGTCATGTTACATGTATAAATTGTATTTTAATATCATTTCTTAATGTAACCAAAGAATTGTAAATGTAATTTAAAAATTAATAATTTTTATATATATTATCAGTTTTACATATTTAGTATATCAAATTAACCATATCTTGACGAGTTTCGATTTAATATCCATATTGTATGTATAAAAAAATAAATTATGTTTATCTTTATAATAATAATAAAACTGTTTTTTAATATTAATTAAAAATTTAAATTATTTATCAATTAAAATATTTATATTTCAATCAGTTACATGATATAAGTTATAAAAATTATTATAATATAACACATTTAAGTAGCACAAATAACAAATGTCATCTTAAAATATATACTAATATATATTTTTTTGTAAACAAGTAAATAAAATTTAAAATAACTTTTCTCAATAATTTTAAAATTTAATAATATTTTTTAACAATCACCGGTGTAATACACGTGTGTTGTACTGTAATGATTGATTAAGAAAAAATATAATTTTATAAGACCACGTGACTCGGTAGAATAGAAACGCGTGTATTCCAAAGATAGTTTAGTATCTAAGGTTAAAACTGAGGTCCAATTTCAGTTTTCGACTTAAAAAGCTCGAGACGGCCCAATTTGTGCACCAGAGTCCACAAATTTATTGGGTCAGGGGAGTCCTTTTTTGCATAGGGTATACCTAGGTCGTCCCACCTCTATAAAAGGATGACCTAAGTCAAGGTAAGAGGATATTCTCTCCTTTTCTACACATAATCTACATCGCCACCTTACAACTCTATTCTAACTTAAGTATCGGAGGATCTATCCTTGGGGACGACCCTAGACTCTGTTTCATGGGGCGGACGCCGTGGAGACATGAGGCCCAAGGACTACAGAGGGTGAAGAAATAATTTTTTGAACTGAAGACCTTGATAAAGGGTGTTCTTGAAAAAGAATAATCATTAGGTCAAACGAATAAAGACGCCAGTCATCAAGGGCGGATTTAGATATAGGCTAGCTTGGGCAGTTTCCCAGGATGACTTTTACTAATAAAGATAGGTTATTACATTTTTAGTAGAAACTTTTAAGTGAAAATGGCAAAAACCGAATTTGCACGCGCAGAAGAAGATGACTTCGGTAAGAGATTTTTTTATTTTTAATTAGCCTATAGAACGACGTCGTTTTTTGCTTTCAATGAATTAAAAAATTTGAAGCCAAACAACGTCGTTTCAGTTAAAAGGTAAAAAAAAAAAAAAGAATTCTTCCAACTCCTACACACGCACGACACAGAAGGAAATTAAAAGACAAAATAAAAAGCATAACTTTTAACCTTTGCGGCTTCTCAAGTTTGCAGAAGAATTGAAGAAAGAAGATCTCCAAATTACTTCGAACTTTACTTTCAAAATACGCCGCCGAACACCACCCAAATTTCATCTTCCATCTTCTTCCATCTTTAATTCATAAGTTCCTCATGAATCAATACATAGAAAAAAAAAATCCTTCTTAAGAACGGCTGACGGGAAGTTGGAACGGGATTGTTTCTTGAATGGTTTGATCGAGATTTCTCCACTTTAATTCTAATGTAAGTGTTTAATATGCTCAAATATTCATATCATTTTTTTAACTCAGATTTTGTTTGTATGTGTTATATTATGTTTGTTTTTCCCTTTATTGTAAATTGATCGAGCGTACCTCTCCATAATTTGGTGTGTCGTGTGATTAATGTTTCTTAACTGAAGTGAATTAAAAAATTAGTATTTTTTAATTTCATATTGCCCTGGCTGATAAAAAATCCTACATCCGCCGCTGCCAGTCATGGTGAGGGATCTTAATACTTAGTTGATGAAGTCGAGGTCAAATATAAAAGATATCTCGGGAGAAGGACTTCTACACCTGAGGATTGCGGCCTTAAGCAAAAGCTTGAGGAGATTAATGAAAGGCTCGGTTGTTGGAGTGTATTGTAGAAGCTCGACTTTGTGATTACTCCCAATGACTATATTTTTATTTAACAAGGGTGATACCTATTCTGTTAGGTCGGCATACTCGGTTTTTTGGAAAGTGATGTTTTCTACATGATGTGCCGTTAAGAATTTTTATAGGCACCGTGTCCCGGTCCGCTGGGTTGATGATATCCCTGAAATGAGCTTAAGAAGAATTATTATGTTAAACCCGGCATATAGATTAATTTCCGATATAATAATGAAGAATTGAGTGGTATAATTTTCGGTACAAGAAGTTGATTAATTATATTGTAGTAATTAAATTAATTAACGGACATTATATCTTAAACATGGGGAGGTAAATCGGGAAATTAGTCAAAAAACGAATTAACTGTACTTCGGAGCTAAATGAGAAATGCAATAATATTACTCTAGTGGAATGATCGATTATTCAAGTAGGAATAACGTGTGAATACAAGGTGTGAACATAAAGTGTGAACAATAGGTGTGAACACAAGGTGTAAACACAATGTTTCTTATTCCAATTTGGGAAGCCCATATTTGGCACCTCCATAACATCTCTATCGTAGCTTATAAATACAACAAATCCTCTAGCCTCCAAACACATTATTACACGCCTAAAACACGTCAGAACTAGGAGTTCTTCTCTTGAGAAAATTAAGATAAAACGGAGAGGTCTTAGGAGAAAACAATCGAGAGGCTTTGGGAGTTTCGTTTAGTCACACCACCAAGGAGTGTAAATGTCATACAACAAAACATACCGAGGTTTTGTTTTCGCATCCCAGTGAATATATATGCGCAACCCGTCGAATATATACATCACTGCCGCACCTCGGATGACCACGAGACTTGGAGAACATGACCACCAGAGGTATGCGCATCCACCAATGTCATTAGATGTTCCAGCCGCAGTTGTATGCATTGGTGCTTGAGCCCCACTCACCACTTGTTCCAACTGGATACATGAGGTCATTGGCCTGATCATTGATTGGGCCATGTCTTGAAGGAGATAACGAGGAGGTTCATTGTAAGCCATGGAGACCTGATTGTTCTGCTCGAATAATTCAAGAACAAGATCGTCCAAAGGCGTCGTAAAGTTTTCGTGAATGGATTTGTCGTTCAGGGAAATTTTATGTCAACTCTTGGCACGCATAAACTCAAACAAAAAACCGATCACGGGCACCAATGATAACTAAAAAAGACTAAAAATCTGAAGAAAAAATAGCAACTAGACAAAACACCAAACAAAGAGAAACACGAAAACAAAAAAAGACAAGAAACAAAGAGAAACACGAAAAACAAAATGAACAGCCACACAAAATAAGTCCTAATTCTTACGCGAAAACGACGCCATTTTGTTGTAGTTATTTTTAGTAGAGTAAAATAGAAAGATTCAATCATTGGATCGTATCGCAAATGAAGTTAGCCGAATTATTTTGTACTAATATTCAAGCACAAAAAAGAGAAAAATAATTTCCTAACACTCTAATTCAATTTGATTGCGTTTCAATTATCAACTAATAATCCAAGGCAATATAATTTCTCAAATTTCAAAACTCCAACTATTTCCAAATTCTGGCAAGGAAGCTAGGGAATCGAGGATAATTATTTCTGGTTCCAAACACAATTACCGTAGAAATAATCAGTCAGTTAAAAGGACTCAAATAACCTACTCTTCTAAAGATTTGTCCTCAATAACTTTTCGTAACAAGAAAATAAACATGAACGATACATTAACAAATCATTAACAGATAGAGAATACAGTTATAACAAACTTATTTTATATGAGCCTAGATCGAACAACTCCTCCCCTGTCAGTTTTAAAAGTTGTTTAAATGGATTAGAAGAAAGTGTTCCCCTCATACGAACCTAGGTTCAAGACTCGTCCCCTTTTTATTCTAAAGGTCATTTACCTCGCAGATGAACAATCAACTAATTCTAATATTTAAGCAATTCGCACAAATCAAACGATTAACAAGCACGATAATCACAAACAAACCATAGTAATTATCTTCTATTCCTAGCAAGGTAATTTAGGTACTCATATTGCAATTCATCAAAAAAGGAATCAATAAAATAAATTGCATCCATAATCATATAAAATGAAACTTACTATCAATCCAATGTCGAGAAACGAATTCAACCAACAAGCAAATTCACGTTCGTCTTGGGGTGTCACTTTCCCAAAATTGAATCCAAGCCAAAAAATAGAGAGAGAATGTTTACAAATTGAGAGAACTAAAAAAAAAAGTCTAGAGTCCTTTTTTTAACCCTGGGCACGAGTCCTAATAAATAGGGATTAAAAAATGGGTCAAAATCCCGTCCAAATCCAGATTTTGATAATCAAGGTCACGGTTGTGACATGTTCAAGGGTCGCAGGCGACATAGGTCTCGCAGGGCACAATACTGGGCAAGCATCCCAGGGTTCCGCGGGCACGACTCACGTTGCGTGCGCGATGAAGAAATGAAGCTGCGGAAGCACGCGATAGGCAGTCGCGTATGCGACACTCCATACGATGTGTGAAGATGCCTGGGCACTGCGTAGATAATTTTATATTGTTGTAAATATTTTTTCAGAGTAGAAACGAAAGATTTTTAACCCCCAGTCATGTCTCTCGAGGAAGGTCAGCCGGAATATTAAGCACATTTATTCAATCACAGAAAA